ATTTATTATAAGGAAATATTAATAATAGGGAAAGAGAAAAACAATATATGTGGTCCTTCTACTATTACTTATAATGGGAAAAAATTAAAAACCTAACATACAACCAAGAATTAAATAAATTGCCTAGTATGTACCTTTAATCAAAATGATATTACAGATTTATATTATTGACATTAATAATATAAAGAGTGGATTTTATATATAGCTATGGTAATCAACACTGTGGTGTTGGTGGATACCAACAGACTTTCTTCAATGGAACAGAACAGAGATCCTAGAAATATACCAACACAAACGTGCCCACATGATTTTTGACAAAGGCATAAAAGCAATTCAATGGAGAAAAGATGGTCTTTTCAACAAATGGTGCTGGATCAATTAGACATTTATAGGCAAAACCAAACAAAAAAACCCAGAACCTTGACCTACATCTCACACCTTATATGAAAACTAACTCAAATGGATCATGAAATTAAATGTGAAACATAAAACTATAAAACTTTTAGGAGAAAAAAAAGACATAAGAGAAAATCTTTAGGATCCAGAGATAGGCAAAGAGTTTTTAACCCAAAGACAAACAAAATTCCATTAAAAATTAATAAATCGGACTTCTTCAAAATTAAAAACCTTTGCTCTGTCAAACACTGTTGAGAGGATAAAAGAGACAAACTACAGACTGGAAGAAAATATTTGCCAACCATATGTTGAAAAAAAACTAGTACCTAGATTGTATAAAGAACTCTCAAAACTCAACAGTAAAAAATCCCAAACAATCCAATTTAAAAAATGGGCAAAAGACATTTAGATCATTTCCCCAATCATTTCCCCAAAGACAACATTCAGATGGCAAAATAAGCCCGTGAAAATTTGTTTGACATCATTAGCCATCAGGGAAATACAAATTAAAACTGCAATGAGCTATCACTACATACCGATCAGAATGGCTAAAATAGAAAAAAAGTGATGATATCAAATGCTAGCAAAGATGCAGAGAACCTGCATCACTTATAGATTGCTAGAGAGAGTGTAAAATGGCATAACTACTCTGGAAAACAATCTGGCTGTTTCTCAAAAAACTAAACATGCAACTACCACACAACCTAGCAATTATAGTGCTAGATATTTATTCCAGGGAAATGAAGACTTAGGCACACACACACACACACACACACACACACACACAAAAAAACCCTGTACATGAATATTTGTAGCAGCTTCATTTGCAAAAACTAAAAAGCTGGAAACAACCCAGAGGACCTTCAATGGATGAATGGATGAATGTACGTAGTACATTCATACCATTTAATACTTTCCAGCAATAAAAAGGAACAAACTATCGATAAACAAAACAGTCTGAATGAATCTTAAGAAAATCATGCCAAGTGAAAAAAGCCAATTCCACAAGGTCACATACTGTTTGACTCTATTTGTATAATATTTTACAAATGACAGAAATAAAGAACAGAGTAACAATTGCCAGGGGCTAAGGACAATAGAAGTAGGTAGAAAGTTTGTGTAGCTATAAAGGAGCAACAGGAGAGAACCTCGAGGTGATGGAAACATTAACATCCTGCTTGTGATACTGTACTATAGTTCTACAAAATGAGGGGAACTTGGGTAAGAGGTACTCTGGATTTGTTTGTGTTATTTATTACAACTGCGTGTAAATCTATAATGCAATTATCTCAAAATAAAAGCACATATGAGATAATCCCACTTTCACAAAATATGGATGTTAATATATAACATTTAATATATGCTTAATAGAAAAATGTCTGGAAATACATACAACAAAAGAGTATTTGTGGTTATCTATGTTGGTGAGATGATATGTGATTTTTTAATTTTTCCTCTATACATTCATGTATTACAAAAGTGTTTTTCAAGGAGCATGCTCTACTATAACAGTAAAAAAAAATGAAGCTATTTTCATTATGAAAAAGAGAATACCTGCTACTGTGCACAATTTTTTTCACTGGACATTTTACTATATTAGTTTTTTCTAAATATCATTTTAAAAGCTATTTAATATTCTATCACATCAATCTATCAATTTTACCATTTCCTTATGATGAGGATTTAAGGATTGTTTCTACTTTCTTCATGCTAAAAAAAGCAGCTATGAAATAGATATTCTTCTTCCTTAATCATCATATGCATCTCTGATTATGCCCTACAGCTAGACCTCTAGCCATGGAGTTATTCGGTCAGAGAGTTAGGGACACTGGAATATACCAAACAATTGCTTTCCTGAAAAACTATGAATATATGTCCCAACATTAGCAGTATATGAGTGTGAGATCACTTCACTCTGTCCCTCAGAAGCTGCCAAAACTGTATGCACATTCTAAGTTCCATAGATGAAATAAGTAAGGAAAACAGGCATGCTAATCTCATACAGTGGCATCAAGGCAAAATAACATTGACTTCACACCAGTATTTCATGTTGCACACTCTAACATGTATGGGTCTTACTCACTCATCTTCCTTTCCCTTCACCTCCAGAATGTCCAGACTTCTTAGCCTGACACCACCCAAAACCTACCTCTGTCTGCCTCATCCACTTGCCTCCAGCCACGCTTGCCTCCTTGCTGCCTCTCAAACCCATCTGACGCAACAACGCCTCTACCTGAAGGCTCTTGTGCACATCCACAAGGCTTGCTCCCTCACTGCCTTCAGGTCTTGGCTCAAATGTCCCCCTGTCAGAGGCCTTCCCATCCCACTCTGTGTAAAGCAGCCACGCCCTTCTCCAGCTTCCCTATCTGTATTGACCTGCTCTGTCTTTCTCTGGCAATGACACACTGTACGTTTTTGATTACTTCCCTGCCTTATTCTGAAACTTTAAAAAATCATATCCTATGCTCCAAGGCACTGCCACCCCAACTTGTACAGACTATATATTTTGGCTCCTTATCATGATAAGAATGAAGAGCATCTCCAGCATAATTTATTTCTAGGCCCTGCCTCTTACAATCTTTTTTTAGAGTTGCTTTATGTGATAAATAATAATTGTACATATTTATTGAGTACATGTGATATTTTGATACATGCAAATTATGTGTAGTGATCATATCAGGGTAATAGGGATATCCATCACCTCAAACACTTACTCATTTGTGTTAAGAACATTCCAAATCTTCTTTTAGCTATTTTTGAAATAAACAATAATTTATTGATAACTATAATCACCCAACTATGCTACTGAACACTAGAACTTATTCTTTTTATATACTAGTATTTTTGTACCCATTAACCAACCTCTCTTGATGCCCCTATCCTCCAACCCCACCCCCAGGTAACCATTATTCTACTCTCTATCTGTATGAGAGCAACTTTCTTAGTGCCTGCATGAAAGTGAGAATAAGCGATATGTTTCTTTCTGTGTCTGGCTTATTTCACTTAACATAACGTCCTCCAGGTTCATCCATGTTGTTGCAAAGGACAGAATTTCGTGCTTTTTTATAGCTGAATAGTATTCTATTGTGTATATATATCACATTTCTTTATCCATTCATCCGTTGATGGACACTTACATTGATATCATATCTTAGCTATGGTGAAAACTGCTGTAATAATCATGAGAGTGCAGATATCTCTTTAACATACAGATTTCCTTTACTTTGGACATACTCCCGGCAGCGCAATTGCTGGATCATATTGGTAGTTTTATTTTTAGTTTTTTTGAGGAACCTCCATACTGTTTTCCATAGTGGCTGTACTAATTTACGTTTCCACAAACAGTGTATATGAGAGCTCCCCTCTCTCCACATCCTCACCAGCATCTGTTATGTTTTGTCTTTTTTCATAATAGCCATTGTAACTGAGGTGAGTTGCTATATGGTTGTGGTTTTGATTTGCATTTCCTTCCCATGATCTTTATATTGATGTCCTTTCTCCACCTAACCTTCAACCCCGCAAAAAAAAAACCGCCCAACGGGAAACCCCAATCAAGCCCCAACCCGCCCAAAAACCCAAAATGCCGGTCCGGGGGGCCTCCTCTCCACCATCCAGCCTCTGTGTCCTCAAAATCTGACAAACCAACAAAAAGAGTAAGAGTGAATATAATAAGCTAATTTTCACCAAAGTGTGTTTGATTGAAATACAAACTGACAAAAATGCAACTTCTTAAGAGTTTCTAACTGGAAAAAGATAGATGTGAAATATATGGTTCATTCTTGAGGCATTTCTGTTCCATTTATTTCTTCAAGTTTTGTTATCATTTTGATTTTGTCACAGTCTTTCCACCTGAAAAGTCTTATTGTAGTTTAACATTATCCAAGAAGTAATTCCCTTCTGATTTTCATTCCATTCAGCCCTGACCTCTTCCCTCTGAACAGACAGGAACAGCAAAGGATGTCTCCTTCTGACATTCCTACTCTCTAATCAAGCATTTTTCTACTTCAGTGAGTCTCCACTTCATATTGAATTCCATCAGGGTATGTTCTTTTCTCCTTTAAAATGTATTTGAAAGTCCTCTTTTCCTTTCCACATATTCCACAGATTATATCCTTCACGTATGAGGAATCAGACCCATAAATCAGTCCTATGAAAAATCTTTGCTTTGAAATGTCATTTAACAATTATTTTTAAAAGAAACTACTTTGAAATTTTAAAAAATGAGCCTTAAAAAAAGACCACCTCTATAGTATTCCTTGTCCTCTGTCATTAAGACACATAATACAAGGTGGCTTGCTTGTTTTTATCATGTGCTTAGATCCTTTTCATGGTTGCAGTGGACTACATATTTTTAATTTTAAATTTCATATTTTCTTGAAATCTGGGATCAATTAGAGCAAAACAGTGAAATTTTATCTTACAGAACTATATATAACATCCTGTGCTATTTTAATGGTAGAATAAATAATCTTAAAATCAAATGGTGATACTTTGCATTCTACACCATAACTTCCTGAGATACACGAAACTGCACACTACCGATGATATGAGAAATATCCCCAAAGAATTAAAATCTTCTTCCAGCTCCATAAAAGACTACTCACCAGACTTCCTTGCTTTCAAAGCAATAACAGCTGCAAGCTCTCTCTGCACCTAATAAAATATTAGGGGGAAAATCAAATTAGAAGAAGAAAGAAGTATCTATCAAAAACTATACTTTGTTTTTATTAATAGATATACAACCCAAATTAAGAGCTGCTGCAATTAAACTTAGGTTTGCGGCCATCGCTTTTTTGGTTTTTGCTTGGTTTTAGCACATGGAAAAACCGAGCATAGGAATTTTAAGCAAAAAATCTAGAATAATGTTATTGAGTTACTTTTAAAACAGTTAGACAGTTGTCAAAATGTATACATTTTAGGACATTAGTATATATGCCACAATGGGAAGTACCTCAAAAACATAACTGTATAACATTCAAATATAATGTAAATATGAATAAAATTAAAATATGAGTGATACTATAACCAAAATATTAAATATTATGTTTCCCACAATGATGCTAGTTTATACAGAAATTCTCGAAAAGCTGAGATAGGCAATCCTGGCTCTGCTCAAGTACAATGAACGTTCACTGCAAGCCTGACAGGTTTACAGCAACCATCTTGCATAATATGCCACATAAAAGCAAATGTCATCAACTCACAGGGCAGGTGAAATGGGAATAGACTAGATGACTTTTTAGAACCCTACATGTCTTAAATCCCACTTAGTTGTCAAAATTTTTCAGTGCTTACACACCGTCTCACCCCTCCCACTTTGAAGGCTTAAATCCTTCCTTGAAAACATTCTCAAAGACCAACATGAAACAGTGACAAAAAAGACAGTCACTTTTAAAGATAACAGGAAGATAATCTTTGGGAAATCTATGTTTGGTAGCAATAAAAATTCCATAATGAGAAAGTCCCTTTCCTTCAGAAAGTACACAGTCCCTCCCTTAGGCTGAGAAGTCTGTGTGCTCAGGTGTTTGGAGGTGGTGACGGTGAGATGTCTGAGAGGGTCATGCCTCTGAATATATTAACAACACTTTAAAGAAAGAACATGGGGCCAGGCGCGGTGGCTCATGCCTGTAATCCCAGCACTCTGGGAGGCCGAGGCGGGCGGATTGCTCAAGGTCAGGAGTTCAAAACCAGCCTGAGCGAGACCCCGTCTCTACCATAAAAATAGAAAGAAATTAATTGGCCAACTAATATATATAATATAAAAATCAGCCAGGCATGGTGGCGCATGCCTGTAGTCCCTGCTACTCGGGAGGCTGAGGCAGGAGGATCGCTTGAGCCCAGGAGTTTGAGGTTGCTGTGAGCTAGGCTGACGCCACGGCACTCACTCTAGCCTAGGCAAGAAAGCGAGACTCTGTCAAAAAAAAAAAAGAAAGAACGTGGGAGTTCAAAGTTAAAGGGCAGTTTGCTATTTAAATTAATTTAACTTCTTATTCATTTACTAGAAGGTGAGAGTAACAATGTGCTAGAACCTGAGACTCCACCTAGGACTGCTTTGCCAAGGGCCAGATGTCACCCCTGAAGAAGGCAGCTTGCCCCAGGTACGTGCTTTCCGGATGGGCTAGTGTGAATGCCATTCAAAGGTTCACGCTCTTGATTGAGCTGATTCTTTGACATCGTAAGACTCTCTCTCTCTCAGGAAAATTACAGAATCGTGAGAAGAGAATCAGTCCCTCTCCAACTTTGGGAATTTGGGCTCTGAAAATGCTCATAGCTAGAAAGTTTACAGTTAAAGAACTTAGGGGCAAAAGAGGACTGAGGCAAAGACAAGTGATGAGTGACCACAGGAAGGGCTCTATAAGTGTACTTATATGTGCAGTCTTATATGTGCACTCATATAAATAAAAAAGCAATAAAATAAAAATATCGATTATTGCATATTTTATATATTTTAAGTTGTTTGTAAAGTTTATCACAGTATAATATTACCATCTCTTTTTAGGATTTTCCTCCTTCACAGTGTCACAAATATTTGGGGGTGGGGCAAAGCTGCAGATTATAAACGTTCACTGGGACCTTGTCAATGGCTTCCTGATGCTAAGACCTCACAGAGAAGACCCTACCACGGCTCACAGATAGAAGAAAGCAGAGATGGAAAATGATGCATGAGGTACATCACTTAACTTTGGTCACTGAGGATCAAAACCAGTCATCTCCATTATCCTCTTTCCATTTTCCATATCTGAATTCCCTATACAGTTGTGGTCCCCAACCCTTGGGTGGAGGACCAGTAGGTACCAGTCCGTAGCCTGTTAGGAACCAGGGCACACAGCAGGAGGTAAGCGACGGGCGAGTAAGCAAAGCTTCATCTGTATTTACAGCCGCTCCCCATCACTTGCATCACTGCAAAAGCTCCACCTCCTGTCAGATCAGCCGCTGCATTAGATTCTCATAGGAGCAAGAACCCTACTATAAACTGCACGTGGAAAGGATCTAGGTTGCGTGCTCTTTATGAGAAACTAATGCCTGATGATCCGAGGTGGAGCTGAGGCGGTGATGCTAGTGCCGGGGAGCGGCTGCAAATATAGATTATCATTAGCAGAGAGGTTTGACTGCACAGTAAATGTAATGTGCTTGAATCATCCTGAAATCATCCCCGCCACCCCCAGTCCATGGAAAAATTGTCTTCCATGAAACCAGTCCCTGGTGCCAAAAAGGTTGGGGACTGATGCTATACAGGACCCTCAGTTTTTCCTTCTCCAATTAGAAATAATGCTCCAAATATAAATAGCTCAGAAAAGGAAGGTGTTATATTCCCACCTTGGTATAACACTACATATCTTCAAAGGTTTGATAGGGAAAGAAAGGGAGGAACAGAATGAGCAAGAAAACAATGGAGCATTTTGGGAGTGCCAGGAAGGTGAGAGATGGGCAGTAAGAAAAATTTCACAGTTTAATTTAGATGGAACCTAAGTGCCTTTTTCACATAAAATAAATGAGATTAGTACACTACAGCCCCTGAACCTCTGCAAGTGGGAGGTTATGAGTGTTTTATATAGGGTGGGATATAGAATAGCTTCCATGTTTCTGTCCCAGGGAAAATATTTTTGACAAAAATCCCAAAAGTAGGTTAGTCTTCCTACAAAACACAAAGGAGAGAGAAAGTGCTGATTAAGCAAAATAAAAAAAAAATGCAGTGAGATCCCATTATATGTTTCTATAACATCTTCATAGTTCTTTTTTGTTTTTTAAACATACTAGCAATCATTTAATTAATCATTTAAAATTGTGGGACTAATGTTTATCTGTCAGCTGGAAACTCAGTTGAGGCTGGAACCTGTCAGTCTTTGCTTTACATTTTCCAGGGTAATTGACACTCATTCATTCACTGACACACAAGAGGTGGATACAGAGGCAACCCTTAAGAGAACACAAAAAGAACATAAGGGAGAGAAAAACCTCCTGAGGGAGGACAATGAAAACTCAAAGTGAAGGCACTCCCCTGGTCATAAGATACTCCCAGTAGAAATCCTCAGAACATGTTAGAAGGACTCAAAGCCTCCTTTGCAAATAACTGTTAGGTTTATATTGAAAACTAAAACTCTGAGCAATTGCATAAACAGAGTACAATTTTGTTTATGTACTAATAAGGGACCTGTTGGCACTGGAAAAGAAATACCAACTTCATTGCCAATTGACCTTCAGGTGACTGAGGTCCTGGCTGGCATTCTGACCACAACCCCTTGAGACACCCTGAACAGGAACCACCCAGCTAAGATGCTCCTAAATTCCTGACATAATGAACACATGTTGTTTCAATTCTCTAGATTCTGGGGTAGTTTGTTATGCTGAAGAATCTTTTATAGGACAATGATTTTCTATCCATCTACTTATGTCATTGGTTAACCCGAGTGTCTCTCATCATGTCTGAAATGGAACCACCCTCTCAGATTAGGCTTGAGAAATATTTCAGACATAGAACCATGTTCTGATACTGGTCATTGTTTCTGTCCAATAAGGATGCTCAACCACTGCCTATGTAATTAGAAATAATGCATTGTTCCTAATCTGACAGGAAGAGTAAATTATTATCTTGGATTTTCCTATCATATAAACTTTCCCTGATATGATCTATAACTCCTTTTCTGAACCCCCTGGGGTTAGATGTATTTTAGAATTCAAAATTTTATATATCTTAGAAAGGTACCCTTTCTACATCATACTCTCAGTGAGGTCTGGAGCGGCAACTGGTAATCAGACATGTTAATATTTCTGCAATGAAATGTATGATGATTCATGCTAAATGGGATAAAGAAAACTAGGAAAAGCTTCAGGCTTTGCCACCAAATATGTTCAAATATGTTTGGTTAGATTTTGCCACCAAGTTATTTATGAAAACCTTTTTGTTTTTCAGAGCTTTTCTATTTCAGAACTATGAATAAGCAATTGTAAACCTCTATTAAATTCACACTAGAAGATTCTCTTCCTCATCTTCTCCTATTTTCATCAATTGCCATTTAGTCACTACTTTTTGTCTACCAAGAAATGCTCTTTTAAAATAGCTTAGATTTTCATCTATTTCAGCAGTTCTCAAACCTTACTGCACATTAGAATCAACTGGAAAGGTCTGAAAAAATACTGAGAGTTGGTCCCCAACCAAATCAGAATCTCTAGGGGAGAGATCCAGGCGTTGGTTTCTGTTGTTTCTGAGCTTCCTCTGGGATTCCAGGCTGCGGCCATGGTGAAGAGCCACTGCTCTATTCAACAAGAGAGCTTAGTCTCCCTGAGATTCAGGAATATATCCCCAAGATTATACTTCAATCTTATAATCATTTCAACCAACAATCAATCTTTACTCTTTATTTTGTCCTCCTCTAATTCAATTCATTTGTAAGGGAAGATGGACTTTGCTGTTTAAGATACACAATAAAAAAAAAAAATCATGCTGTAATCCAATCAACTGACAAGATTCACTTACTGCAACAGCAGTTTGAGAAACAGGATCTACTCAAGTACAAGGAAAATCACAAGAAAGCTTTTTAAGAAGCTTCAACTTTAATTTAAAATATAGTTCACTCAACATAAAAAAAAACAACTATATAATTCAAAACCCATGCAGCTGAGGGTTATATTTGCCTTGGGAATATCTAAATAGA